ATGAGGGGCGGTGGGAAGCTGCGATTCCGAGACTGGCAAAAGGTGCGTTGAAAGATACCATATATAGCGATACTCATCAAAATTACCGTTTCTGGCATTTTTCACTTGCAATCACACGACCTTGCGCCCTGGATTGGAGAGGATTGGGATTCGGGATTCTCTTCCAAGGGTCCTCTGAGTCTATATAAACTCTCCGCTTCACGATGTCGACCCCAGCAGCAGCCGTCCCCGCATCTTCGAGCCCACCGCCGCCAACCACTACCAACCACCGCGAACATAATGTCTGCCCCCATCGACCTCGAGGCTCAAACCATTTTATCTGTGCCTACTCCAGTGCTCACCTACACCACTCGCACTCCTGCCTCTGAACGCGACCCACTTGACAACTTCTTCGGACAAGCATCCTCTGCCCCGCGCATACGCGACAGCAGACACGACACCGAAGCTCTTCCAGCCTACGTCGAAGATCTTCCTCCAAACTACGCGCTCAAGGCCCCTGAGCCTCTGACACTCGCGCGCTACCTCTTCAAGTTTGGTTTCCGTGAGTACACATGCTTTTCCTGAACGACAACCTCAGTGCTGACATTTGCGAATTTTCTAGTGTTTCCCCCATTTTGGATTATGGGTGCTTGGATTCTCTGGTCGCCTCTGCGTGCACCCAGTGACGAGACAGATCCCGAGGGCTGGTTGCCGGAGAAGACCGAGACGGAGAGAAAGCGGATTCTCGAGGAGATGAGGCGTGTCGAGGTTCGCTGGGCACTTCGCTGCCTTTGGTCTATCATAATCTTCACCCTCCTCGCCATCATCGCTGCGGTTGCCACCTGGGCCATCATGAAGTTTTGAACCCAGGATTACGTTCTTCAAACCGCATCCATTCATGCATACACTCGCACAAACGACCATGATCACTTCACCACATCGGTCCTATACCCTCTTCGACCTTCACCATTCGTTTTCATACCCGTTTCGCTTCGATCTTCATCTCACCTGCTGCTTCTTCACCCCCTCATTATTGCTCACGCACCTTCGCACGTGTGCCTAAACGACCACCCACCCTACTACTGTATCAATAGCCCATGTCATCCAACTGCACGACCACCCTACGATTATTATAACATTATTGAGCAACACGAAACCATTACATTGTATGGCGGCAGAGCCTAACTGGGCCTCATAAGGGTGATGAAAACCTTGGGACATGTGTATGGGCTCTATTCAAAGCTCTAGGACGAATTGGCATGCCCACGTCTGCCTTAGCAGACGCCAGTTCTCAGTTCTGTGTGGCGCAATGGTGAGTCACGTGCTACTCTCCTTTCGACCAACTTCAAGCTTGTGGGCATTGGCAAGAAACTAATAACCGTGTTCGCAATGCTTCTGGTATTAGGCAAAAAAAAATATCTAATCGGTCCGTGAAGGACAACCTGCTTGACACTCAAGTCCGTGTGCTTATTTCTAGAACATTCTACGACACTCTGCAAAGCTCCGCGTTGTTCAAGGCTGCTACCGAAACCTGTGATCCTCGAAACGGATGAAAGAGAATGTACGTCGCTTCTAGAAATTTCTGCAGCTGAGGTATATAAGAGCCTGCACCATTGCATTGTATTTCCTCAGTAACAACCAGATCGATCACTGTTCGAATCTCCTCTATACTCAACTCTACACCACCGCCAACTCACCACAACCATGTCGAGCTCTGTCTTCTTCTATGAGCCTTTCTACGACGTTGATCGCTTCTTCGAGGCTTTCTCGCCTCTGAACAACAACCAAGTTAGCCATGCGCGTCGCGCAGTGGAGAACGACGATGGTGCTGTCCGCTCTCTGAAACCAAGGTAAGTAGAATGGTTTCCAATGAATGAATTCGAGTTTTGATACTCATATGCGACCAACAGAATGGACCTGCACGAGAATGCCGAGTCCAACCGCGTCACAGCGACCTTCGAGCTGCCCGGACTGAAGAAGGAGGACGTCAACATTGACCTGCGCGACGGGCGCCTCACCGTCTCCGCAGAGACCAAGATCTCGGAGGAGTACGAGAAGAACGGGTACGCGGTAAGGGAGCGGCGCTTCGGCAAGGTGTCGAGGACGCTGCAGATACCGCAGGGTGTCAAGGTAAATTTCCCTCGCGTATACTGAGACTCGAAACAACGGATTCTGATGGATGAGGAAATTAAAGCCTCGATGGAGAATGGGGTGCTGACTGTGACGTTCCCTAAAACGGCACCGGATCAGGCACCCAAGAAGATTACGATTGCGTAAATGAACCAAGGCGCTCTTCACAAACCTGGAACCACTATGTAAAGTGGACAGCCTCATGATGGAAATAAAGGCTCTGTAGCATAGTTTCTCTCCAATGTATTACAAGCTTTCTCGTTTCAATTCTACGACATACGTCAATGAATGGCTGCGAAGAGCATACTGGGCGAATTCAAGCACTGATGAACATTTTAATACAAGCTGCAACACGAAGTCCGATACAATTTACATAAACTACCATCGAAAGACCCGGTGGAGAGGAGTCATGTTCGATGACCTCTTACATTGCCCCGCGGCACGCGGGCATAGTATGGCATCTCCTAATCCGTATACTCCCCACACTCCTCTTCAGTATCTTCACTATCGCTATCCAGTGACCAATCGGTATATTTTGCCCTCTTTGAGGTTTCCGAGACTATTTTCGTTCTTCGAGGGTACTCGTCATCAGTTGAAGGTGTAGATGAACGTGAAGAAGTTCCGTTCTTCTGGCTGCACTGGCCGACAGACTCAGCTATGCGGCCTGCTTGCGTTTCTTCATTATGCAATATACTCCCGGTCTAAATTTATTGAATCAGCATTCCAAAAATTTCACAAGTGAGCAAATGGTTCTCACCATCGATGGAGTAACTGAGAAATCGCTTTCTTCACTCTTGATACTGACATTTGGCCGTATCCGCGCTGGTGATGGCCTAGGTGAGGTTACTTCCGCCTTGGCGCGTCGGGGCGATGTCGGGGTATATGGCATCTCCAAAATATTTGTAGTATTTGATGCGACATTTAAGGAGTGCGAAGCAGATGAATAGGTCAACTGTGGGTTGTTGGTTCGATATCTTTTGTACATCGCCGCAGTGTTTGCACGCGGCCTTGAGTTTGTTAAGTATGGGTTTTCGCGAGGTTCTGATGTTGGCCGAGATCCTATTGCAGCTGGGAGTGGCTCCGGGGAGCCTTCTTCCTCGTCATCAGATGTTGCAAGGGTGGAGGCTGTTTCTGGGTTCGTTGAGAGTGTTCCTGTAACCGGAAATAACGGCTCGGGGAGTGGAGGTTGGCCTGGCAAACGCTAGATAGTCACAGGTGCGGAAATGGGTGCAAAGGAGAGTACCAGTGGATTATGACCCACCCGAAATAAAAATCTGCATGTCCGAAATCCAGTTTTACCAGGGCCGCGCCAGGCCTAAAAGTGTGCGATTAGCAATGTGTGAGTGTAGCAGTTAGCATGTCTATTCACATCTTCAACAACATACAAGCCATCATAGCGAAACCTGAACCCGATTTAAATATGTAGACGGGGCTTTGGTCAAGCACAACAACATACCCTGCAACTGGAGAGTAGGGAGAATGTAGTTTTCCAGACCCCCGAACCACACGCACAGGTTTCTTGGTGACACACGATCTCTGAGGTAAATTTTCAGTAATGTCGAGAACATACCAACACAAAAAAGCTCATACTCTCAGGGCATTATTTCCGGCCGATCCCCAGCTCTGGTCTGAAACTTGTGGGCCGCCCCAAGCCTACGTTTTGGCCGTATTAATGACTCCCAACACTCTGGGAAGTTAGCAAACTCACGGTATCGTTGGTTTTTTCTCGTCCCCCTAGAAGTACATGAAGTGTCGCGCCAAAAATCTCCTTTGATAGATGACAAACCTTCACCAGTGTACACGCTGTCGGCGTTGTTGTGAGAACATGATCATCCATTATAAGGCAGCCTCGTGGTCGGCTAAAACTTGACAACATACAAGGCATTCCCATGGTCCTCGTCGTCTTCGTATCGGCCTGAACTGCCTCACCGCACGATATCAGAGAAATGAGCAGTGGTGAAAAAAATTCTCAAACCTACAGCACCACTGAATATGCACCGTCAAGACCAGTACCATGAATTCCAGCAATCAAGGGTGCGTGTACACCAGCTTCGCTGCAGTCGAATCGCCGCTCGAAGGTCGAGCCCACTGGAAATCCGACTACTTCGCCATGTACCTTCCTTTCCGAATGTTAGAGTGAACTTGGTGAAGTATGCAATGTAGTAAGACGGGCTCGTACGGGTTTCGCTCAGGAAGACGGTTGATTACTCTATCCTTGAGATAATGTTTGCGCCGTGGAGCAGTGACTTCATCGGTTAGAGTGGTTGATATTAGCTTTACTTCTTCTGATTCGGGAGGTGCAGCTGCTAGAATAACGCTTTGTGCGGCGGCGTCTGGGTCCATAGTGACTTGGTGCAAGACCGTCTGCAAGTGGATTTGCGGGCGATCACTGATCTGATCACGGAAGCAAATTGATTATGGGCATATGTGGGAATCGGAACATCGCCGACTTCCGACCTGCCAAAATTTTCACAACCAAGCGGGCATTGACACCACCCTGCGGACGTTTGTTGATCAATGGATTAAAATTGCACTATTTTCCAAGTATTCGTATGGTGTTCTTGAGATCCTCTATGCCGAACCGTGATGCGAGAATGATCGCCGGATTGTCAGCTTGCACCCAATATTTTCTGATCTGAATGATTCCAGTATGATTCCTCCAGTGGCTTGGAAACGCAAGCAAAAGGGCCTTACTGGGAATTGAACCCAGGACCTCCTGCAATTAGGCCTTGTGGGATAAGCCCCCAATCATTTTAATGACTGCTCTTCACTGGATCCTTCCGAACCAAAAATTGGGCCTCACTGGGAGTTGAACCCAGGACCTCCTGCACTTAGGCCTTATGGCTTCATAGCCCAAACGAAGCGCGGCCACAAGCGAGTAACAAAAATACGGGTCTTACTGGGAATTGAACCCAGGACCTCCTCGAGATGAGCATTGGCACCCAAACGAGGAATCATACGACTAGACCACAAGACCTACAAGGAGATGGCAAGACCTGTTATCCATATCTGATCTTAGAATCCAATCTTTTGTGATGTCGTCGCGTCACAGGCGTTCGCACTCTCGCTACGCTCGCTGAACGTTGATTCTCCGCATTCACCACAATGCCTCCACGGAAGAACAACCTTCTAGATCAACTGGAATTACCACCCAACAAGGCTACTAAAGCTGTGCACTTCACACCCAGTGGCCCCTCACAGCAGCCAGGCCACACCGTTCAGAGCTTAGCAGAAACCATGAAGAAAATTTCACAATCAACGCGTCAGTATGTCGCAGGGCCAGGTAAATCTCGGCGTCGGAATGTTATGGGCAAGCTTGGAACTGCCTTCATCAATCCAGCTCATCTCATAGCTTCGGCTGTGAACTATGAAATCATCCATGCCCCATTTGTTGTGGCCTCTACGTGCAGACACTTTGTGTCTGTGAGGTCAATGTGGATACAATTTTTCACTTGGCTGTACAGCTCTGAGGAAAAGGCCGAAGCAACGTTACAGCCAGGTGCCTCGTTACCAGAAGTGAGAATCTTCAAGCTTCTCATTCAGCACCTTGCAATGGCCGGCAAGTCAAACCTCGGCATGCCAGGTGTCATGGGCTGGTCTTATCTGACCATGGTGAAGAGGATTTATAGGATGGTATGCACAACATCTTGCTTATCACACATATATTGATGTTTATTCTTCAAGCTCAAGCAATGTGGAGTCAAAACTCCAAGTGAAGAGTTTAAAGCTGATGTAACGACAGTACATGCCAATTTTGTCTAGAAATATATAAATGTTGACAAACAATCACAGAGTATCAACCACTGGGCCAAAGAACAAGGTCTATTGACGACAATCAGGAAAGAAAAATTTATCATGTGTGAGAGTGACTACTTGAGATTCTTGGGTGCCATACTTGATCCTACCCTGTCCATTGCCACAGAAGCCGAGGTTGACTTCCTGCACCTATTCTGCATGCATACATCCAACTTACAGTCTGGTTTTTCTAGTGCATCCAGCTTCACTTTGTGTCCACCTTTTTTTGGGAATTTGGCTCTCGTATTGCCACCTTTGGTGAACCAACGGAAGGGCTGGGACTGGCTCATTGTACATGTTGGGGTGTGAGTGGGTTTCAACAAACTTCTCGACGTTAACTGAATGAAAAACTCAGGATATCGACGTGGTTTTGACTGGCAATACAAGCATGGGGTTGGAGTGGACAGTTTTTGTGAAATTTAACTACATGAAAGGAATGAAAGTGGATGCTAGTGCCTTGTATGTTGACTGTTGTTCATACAAGATATTTGAGCTTGCTAACGATAGATCTTTAAAGTACACAACAGTCACTTCGGACTCTGCTAGGATTGGACTCTCACATGGATGGAATCCTTCCATTCCTTGCGTGGGGTATTTTCTTAGCAGTATGGGAGGAGGACATCTTAAGCTGGATTACTGGAGCTACGGCTGCTCCTCAGGGACCCTACAAGCTTCGTGTCAAGCCAGACTTCGTCCACACATCAATTACGAGGGCATGTGTCCAACCCAAGGAAGGCGTGGCTGAACCTGTAAATCCTCATCAACCAGCAAGTACCGCAAAGCCAGACCCACAAGTGCACCGGTCGCTCACTATTTCCAGTCTAACAAGGAGGCTCAGCAAGGTTGGCAACTTCCTCGGTTGGAAAAGTAAGTTTTTTTTTTGTCATCCAGGATACCCTTGCTAATATTGTCACAGATTTTGTGTCGAAAAGTTTTCAATATGCCTGGGCATCGAAAATGTTTGAAGTGATCCCTGAAGCACATGTAAAGTACTTCATGGAGCACCGACAGGATTCAATTATGGCAGAAACGACTTATCAGGCTCCTGACCGCAACATCAATTTGATGGCTGCATGCCATGGCAACCTCCGAAGTGATGTTTTGATGATCGAGTACCACTCCTCAGTTGCATGGAACTCCACTGGCAGTCAGAGCGAGAGGAACATGGAGCAGGAGATGGCAGCAGATGCCAAGCTACAACAACTGATGGTAGCGTTTGCAGAGGCCGACTTGGCAGTCAAGAAGCAAACGGGGATGTTTTTGGACGAGGCGATAAAAGTAAGCCGCAGTCAAAGCCTCAACTGTTATCTAACAGTGTCAACGCTTGCCGCGACATCATCTTGCACTTTCTATCTAGACTCAGGCTTGACGGCATCAAGGCGTGGCGTGTGTGCCCGTACTGTCTACAAGATGGCCCAACCCTGGAGGACGGCAAGCCAAATCCAAATTACAATAAGGACTGCGAGCACAGTCTGCATGGCTACATCAGAACGTGCGAGGATCAGCACTTTGCGCATACCTTTAAGCGCTGCATGTTCTGTGGCATGCATGTAAGCCTGGAGGACAAAGATGAAGTGTCAGAACATTACTTGGCATGCTATACCAAAGCGTTGACAACCATAATGGTCGCACAGGCGAGGGAAAATATCTGGTGAGGGATTTGTATAATCTGGTTCGAGTGACTAATGACCACTTCTCAGAGGTGTTGCCATGCTCTCACTGAAGATTAACATTGGCGCGTATAAATCCATGCACTCGTTTTGCCCGATGTGCTTGCTTAGCCCCGAGTTGAGCTGGACGGTGCATATGATGCAAGTTTCACACTTTAATTTTTTTTTTTTTTTTTTTTTTTTTTTGATTTCGTGACCTGATAGTACGCAGGAATTACCAGGGCCTAGATATCATGATCCACCATATTCTCGCGCATGGCAAATCTGGCTGACCTGGGGTAACAAAATTTGACCTGAAGAAAACCCTTTATTGTTATTTCGATGAATGTGTTTTGGAGAACGATGAGAAGCCGCTGTATGTTTATGCATGGGACTTGACCTGTTTACTGACACTCACCAGCGAGTTGCGAGTCCCCGCTGATGAGCCCATGCTGGGGCTGGACTCTGATATTTAGATTTCGTAGTATTACTTTTCTGTTATTTCTTACATAATACAAGTCACCCTTTGCCTTTCACTTCAACCATCTCTGAGTTTCGAAGGTTGGCGACGCCTTCGAGCTCATTTTCTGAGACCTTGGACCCACTGGGAGACGTCCACCCCTCCTCCTCTCACACACTTCGTCGTCTCATCACCGCAATGATTGAGCACCTCCACAATGCCCATGGGTACAACATATTGCAATGTATCAAGTCTCACGACCACAGCACCGATACCATTCTCAAACTGTCAGGCGACCTCTCCAAGTCTGGCATCCTCTACTATCAAGATGTGATGAAAATCTGCAAGTTGACTGAAGACGACGCATATGGCAAAGTTTGTTTGCGAGAGGCCTGCAGGAAGAAAGACGCTCGTGTTCATAGCCTTCAGCAAATTGATGAAGAATACGCGAGGGTACTCAAGGAGGCCGAGGATCTGGATTAATGCGCGTGGTGCTGTGCTGACGCTTTGCTTTGTTTTGCTTGTAGCAAGCTCATTGAGAGCTATGATTGTATTTTCTTTGGCCTGGATGGCAGGTATTATATACATGTGTTGTAATAAAGCTCAAACAACGATAGAATTACAATGTTACAAGTCCCAAGTCAAACATGAAACATCTCCAGGACGTCGTTTCTATTGTCACTCATAGCTGTCATCAAGTTTTGCAGGAGGGCCTCGGCTTCTGAAGCTTGGGTGATAGTCGTCTGGATCAGACTCTGATTTGTCTCAAATTTGGTGTGGATGCAGCGGCTCGAGATGGCTGATTGTTGTATGATTTTGATAGTGCAGTCATTGTTGCATTGGAATACCTCATGGCGCTGCATGAACCGTGCGCAAAAGTCTGCGAGTTTGCAGGCTGATATAGACACTGTAGGGGTGGACTGTTCAAGGATAAGTCTAGCGATTCCTTTCACTGCAAGGGGCTCGCGCACTGGAGAAACCAAGTTCTGATAGAGCCATTATGTGGTCACGAGCACAAAGCGTCAAGAAAGAGATGAAGGACACACGGTGATGGTGGGAACCACTTCCATGTCATCAGGCTGTTCTTCCATGCAACCATCCTCGTCGAGTTGCTGCTCGTCATCAACACCGCTTTCTCCTTTGTCCATTTCCAAATCGTCAACAAGGGTAGTGTCTTGATCCATTTCATCAGTAGCACATTCTTCTTCTTCAAGCGCTGTGAGGTTGCTTGGAATGGCAGGGATCTAAAGAGTGATCATTGTGTAAACTAAGATTAGAGGAGATCATCTCTCACCTTGGTATTGAGGAGGGATGTCACAGCTTTGCCGGTTTTGTCATGTTTAAGCCAGGTTTTGTTTGGGGGACGCTTGCGAGGACCCTACGGCAAACAGACATGGAAGCGTCAAAGCGATAGGGAACATGGCTGCGCACCTCTGTTTCCAGTCATTGCTTTACTTCAATACGCACGTGGCAAAGAGTATTGCGTTTGATTTTCCAAGCATTTGACTGGATGAAGGGTGAGGGAGTTTCACAAGGCAAGCTATATGCGCCAACCATCGTGGTTTGAAGTCAAGATGTGTTCAAGTCAGGTGATTGCAAAGCAAGAAGCCATGAAGGAGGGAATCATCAGTGAGGTCATTGGCTCATGTCTTTACCAGAGAAACTTGACGACATTTTAGCCCTTGTTGAGGTGAGGGCACCACTAACACCATCGGCTAGCCCAGGATCTTTTGAGCAGGCAGACAAGGAGCATGCTGAATGCCAGAAGAAACTGCAAAAGATTATGCAGCAGCTTCAATTGCAACACAAGGCAGAGGAGTCAGCAAGGCGCAATGCTACAGGAGAATCTGGTGAGGAAGGTGAGGGAGTACAGGACAGGTTCACAGGGATTATGAGCATGGTGGATGCCACAAAAGTCAAGGTTGCATTGCCAGCTAGTTTCAAGGATCTACTGCTTGCGAAGATGAAGAACGGAAGGGTATCAAAGCATGAAGATGACAGGTTTGGACAGCTATTCATAGGTTACTATGGGACAGATGCATTATGGGTGCGAGTCTTTGTCTTTTATTATGG